CCACCCTCCCACCCTTCTCCCCTATTTATTTTTGGTCCTAGACATCCAACACTCTGGTCATCTAAAGAAGTAGGCTGTGCCTATGAAAGCTCATGATACCATCTACATGCTTTGTTAGTCTTTAAAGTACTACCAGACTATTTGGTGGGTTTTTTTTAAGTTTATCCTGTACAGACTAACTCCGCTATCTGAGTGTTTACACTATTGCCTCTTTAAGGAGATAGCACTGTCATTTAAAAAAAACAACAATAGACTAGTAGCACCTTACAGACTAACAAAACATGTAGATGATATCATGAGCTTTCGAGGGCACAACCCACTTCTTCAGATGACAGTTGGCTGTGCCCACGAAAGCTCATGATACCATCTATGTGTTTTGTTAGTCTTTAAGGTGCTACTAGTCTATTGTTTTTTAAGTTTTTCCTGTTACAGACTAACTCGGCTACGCCTCTGAAGCTATTGTCATTTCACACTGTCATATGCTCATTAATGACATAATAGCCATGGTAACCATGGAGCTCTCTTAAATCAAGCTTCTCTATATTCCCAGTATTAAAAACTAGATAAATATGATCTAGTCATTCTGTGTTGCACTTCAACTTTATTTTAAAAAAAATAATATTAAGTTGTGTGCACATAACAGAAAGGGATTATCTCCTACTCCATAACTGTCCTATAGGTGACATAGCAGGAACCTAGGAGAAACCCCTTTTGTTTTATTCTATAAATTGCTATTCTTAATGCTTGAACATTCTTAATGAATTTTTACTTCTTTCCATCAAATCAGGTGTGACTACAAATATAACTTTCTAAACACCGCTTCTTTTTCTCACAACAGAAATGCAAACACACTTCAGAATTCTTTTCATAGCTTATAAATTTGAAGCATGCAGGAGTTTGAAATAAGCTATTTCTCTATGTAAAGAAACAAAGTATTTCCTTCTACTCTTTGTGCACTAGCTTGCAACTCACTGTTTTACCATTTGATTCTCCGAATACAAACATTTATCCTCTAATGCAGTGTTTTTCAACCAGTGGTGCAAGTACCCTTAGGGAAGTCTGGGGGGTACGTCAGCACAACTGAAATTTGGAGAAAACTGATTTTTTGTTTTAAGTTTAACAGCATTTTATTATTTTTGTACTTTTTACACTAAAAAATGTCATTGCCTGCCCGGCTGCATTTAGATTGTTTAAACAAATGTGTTGCAATGGTAGAAAAAAAAATTGTGTGTCTGAAAACTGTAGATGCTGGGGTACTTAAAATTTTGTTTATATAAAAAAAAGGTTGAGAAACACTTCTCTGATGAACTGTGTATTTTTCCTCATTTGATTTCATTTTACTTGATTGCAGCCATTGCACTGAGGCGCCAAGGAAATGAAATGGTTAAAAGTAATAAATACAAGTTGAACCTCTCTAGCCCAGCACCCTCAGGACCTGACTGGTGCCAACCAGAGAATTTACTAGACAACAGGAGGTCAATATTGTCTAGCAGCAATATTGTCTAGGTGGGCTTTTAGAAGACATTTAGGAGTAAATTAGAGCTAAATAACAGCACAGTACACAGAGAGCCAGGACTGGTGGCTATAAACAAACTTTATGGAACCACAGGAAACTTGGATACACCCATGATAAGTGGACATCCGGCTAACTAAAATCATGCTGGACCACAGAGAGTGCCAGACTAGACAGGTTCAGCCTGTAGTAAGTGATTGTTTAATATGGAACATAGTGATCTCCATAAGGACTTCAGCTAAAACCACTGAACTGACTAGAAGGATCAAGGAGCTTTGGATCATGCACTAAATGCTTATATACTGCTGAATGCACAGAATATTGGGCCAAGAGTACCACAGTTAGAAGAGGCAGAAATTTAGAGGAATTGTTCAGTGTTCTCTTAAGGTAGCTATATTGTGAAAATGGGATGCACAGAACTTTTAAGTATTGAGACAGAAATTTAACCCTATGCTGCATGGAGTCAGTATTTGCATAATTTTCATTTCAAATGCTGAGCCACAAGATTGGACACACAGTTATATTCATTGCAGCCCATATATCTTTCCCATCATTCATTCAGGTTTGTAGGATTATTTACCGATTAGTGCATATTAGTCATATATCTCTAATTAGCCAGTATCTGCAGTCAAGATGTTGTCTGATCATACTGACCAGAAGAACAAAACCAGAAGAACATATGCTACTGCTTAGGTGCTGGTATGTGGGGTGTAAACAGGCTCGCTAATAGGAGGAGCAAAGGAGACAGTTGCCTCAGTGCCTGACAACTCAAAGGGGCCCAGAGCTACTAGCTGCTGCTATTGCAACAACAGTGGTGCCACACCAGACACTTCATGGAGCTCTGAGGACTGGGGAGGGGGCCAGCACTGAGCTCCAGGTGGTGCTAAGGGCTGGCTGCCCAGCCCTGCCTCTTCTGCCTGAGACCTCGCCCCTTCCAGGGCCTCCCTCCCCTTCTCTCCCTTCCCACACACACACCTTACTATAGGGACCATGGTGGCTGTTGGCCTTGCTGAACATAAGCTCTTATACTGTGCAACTGTGCAATATTTGTCTGCTTGACTGGAAATGAATATTATCATTATACAGAGAGTGCCAGACTAGACAGGTTCAGCCTGTAGTAAGTGATTGTTTAATATGGAACATAGTGATCTCCATAAGGACTTCAGCTAAAACCACTGAACTGACTAGAAGGATCAAGGAGCTTTGGATCATGCACTAAATGCTTATATACTGCTGAATGCACAGAATATTGGGCCAAGAGTACCACAGTTAGAAGAGGCAGAAATTTAGAGGAATTGTTCAGTGTTCTCTTAAGGTAGCTATATTGTGAAAATGGGATGCACAGAACTTTTAAGTATTGAGACAGAAATTTAACCCTATGCTGCATGGAGTCAGTATTTGCATAATTTTCATTTCAAATGCTGAGCCACAAGATTGGACACACAGTTATATTCATTGCAGCCCATATATCTTTCCCATCATTCATTCAGGTTTGTAGGATTATTTACCGATTAGTGCATATTAGTCATATATCTCTAATTAGCCAGTATCTGCAGTCAAGATGTTGTCTGATCATACTGACCAGAAGAACAAAACCAGAAGAACATATGCTACTGCTTAGGTGCTGGTATGTGGGGTGTAAACAGGCTCGCTAATAGGAGGAGCAAAGGAGACAGTTGCCTCAGTGCCTGACAACTCAAAGGGGCCCAGAGCTACTAGCTGCTGCTATTGCAACAACAGTGGTGCCACACCAGACACTTCATGGAGCTCTGAGGACTGGGGAGGGGGCCAGCACTGAGCTCCAGGTGGTGCTAAGGGCTGGCTGCCCAGCCCTGCCTCTTCTGCCTGAGACCTCGCCCCTTCCAGGGCCTCCCTCCCCTTCTCTCCCTTCCCACACACACACCTTACTATAGGGACCATGGTGGCTGTTGGCCTTGCTGAACATAAGCTCTTATACTGTGCAACTGTGCAATATTTGTCTGCTTGACTGGAAATGAATATTATCATTATATTACTGGAAGATTTACCCAGTGTTGCTTGGGTCCTCAATTTTTTTGTTTTTGGATAATAAAATTCAAATATACATGCTTCCTTTAAATCATTGGTTTGGAGTGGGGCTAGGGATGAGGGTTTCAGTATGCAGACTGCCCCAGGGAGAGAGGACTACCCCAGCCCTCTCTCAGCACAGCAGCCTAAGGCCAAGTGAGACGCTCCTCTCCATGGCTGCTGCAGCTTCAGCAGGCACAGACCAGGGAGGTGTTCGTATCCCCTACCTGGGGCAGGTCCAGGTCCAGGTTCATCTTCCCCCTTCACACCCCAGCTGAAGTGGGGAGTGCAGCAAATTATGTACTTCCCCTCATTCCCTGATGATGGGGAACAGCCAGAAATTTCCCTGTATACGTGGCTTCAGCCCCATCCAGCAAATCCCTTTCACCTTGGTAATTCTGTCTTTTTTTCTGTATGATTTTCTGAGAAGCAATCCATTCCATGCACATTTCATTTTCCTGGCACAACCAAACCCATACCTTGCTTCAAGTTATGATAAAAGGAAGGTGTATACCAGAATCGGTAGTCCTAGCTCTTACCATTTAGGAGGAGTCCCTCAGACAGTCAAACTCCCTCAAATATGCAGTAGATTTACCATTTATCAACTTCTCAGAGGTAGTGAACATGTCATAAACAAAGAAAGTGGTGTTTCAAGCTGGAAGAGCTTACAATCTGAACATTTGGGGGATAGTGGAAAAGGAAACTATGCAAATAAACTTCCCTCCTCATTGTTACCTGTTTCTTCACCAGTCAGTGACCTTGAAATAAGTGAGTGGAAACCACTAAAACAGCCTAGATTAAAGCAAAAAGTAACTAGACATCTTGAGATTTTAAATCAGTGCTTCTTGCACAAATACTTCGATGCTCCCACTCAGGCATAAGCCCACTTGTGCAAGAGGGCCAGTGTAGACAGGAACGTTAATTTCTTGCGCAAGAAAGCCCCATGGCTAAAATGACCATTGGAGCTTTCTCGCTGGTTCGAACCCCGTGCAGCGCGGCTACACGGGGCTCGAACTAGGTAGTTCGGACTAGGCTTCCTATTCCGAACTACCGGTACACCTCAGTTCCACGGTTCCACGGTTTTTCTGTTAAAAGTATTTGCGCAAAATCATGTCAGTCTAGACGCAGCCCTGAGTATTAGAGTGTCTAAAGGTGCTGGCACAAGGGTCTCTAGTGAAAAACTAAAAAGCTGAAATTAGATGTAATTTTAAGACAGACTTCCTCCAGAAGATGGTGCTGTGGCATGGGAACAGGGGCAAGTTTCGGTTGGTGGGTTATCAACACACCATCCTCCTCCCTGACATAGCAGTGGTGAGCAGTTCTTGACTCCATTTCTATACCTATCTTTAGCAAAGAAACTTACGCTTTTTTCTCTCCAAAGTGCAGATTTCATGTAAGTCATCTAGCACTTACCAGACAACTGCAATGTGCTCTGTTTCAGATTGCCCTTGGAGACATTCAGTAGAATCTGGAGCTGGCCCTCATTAGCAGAGAACACCTGTGGTCTGCAATGGCTACCTACCAATTCACTTCTGGGAACAGCTCAAGAGGATCAGTAGGAGCTTAAGGCCCTGACTAGTCTAGGACTGAGCTACCTGGGAAAGTGAATCTCTGTGCCCTGTTGTGGTGTTTGAGATAAAATGGTATGTTTCTACTATACATTCCTAAGACACATTTCTTTTGAATCTGGTGTTTGGGCATTAGAAGGTCTTGGGAATTGAGGCAAAGTCTTGATTGTCTTCAAAGCACAATGAAAGGTGCGTGCTTAACCAGGCATTTGGTTAAATACTCCCATGACAGTAAACAGAGACTGTTGGCAAATGCAAGGAAGCAGATAATTTGATCATCATCAGGGAAAAAAATTATCCTGCAATTATTTAATTTTAATTAGGTGAGGCACCTAGACGCCATGGTGATGGGCATCATAAAGCACTGTGAAATAAACTTCTTACAGTTTCATGTTGACTAATCATGTTTTCAACATTGCAACATCATATCTGGAAATACTTCTTTCAGGTCCAGTTCTTCTAGATATGGTATGGGGAAAATACAGCACCACGCCAGGTCAGAAACCAAATACTGAACCTGCTTTTCTGGCAAAAGCCTTTCCTAATAACTGTGATTAAGTACCTGACTTGTCCAGCCCCTTTCCGCTCACTGTTTTTTTTCATTGAAGATCAGAACTAAGGTCCCTTGAGAAGAAGTGTCAGAAACATTAAATGCAGGTATTGGTCTTTTTTTGTAAGGTTTTTATATAGTGATCACCATCCATATGCTATATTACAGGGTAGAGGTATAGGGTTGTTTTGAACGAATGCCAGTCAATTCCCCCACACAAACCTCCTCCTCCAAATCAAATTTAACTGTATCAAAAATTCAATATGAATTAGCTTTAAAAAATAATTTAAAATAAAGTCACTAAGCCTTTGCTACCTAAAAGGCCCCAAGAAGCTCTGTGTGTGTTTTGGCTGTTTTCCTTTCTTTTTTTTTTTTTTTCTTTTCTTTTTTTTAAATTGATTAGTACAATTGCTTTTCAAAGCACTCCAGTTCCTAGCAGTTTCCTACAACTGGAGAGAAATTGCTGCTTTTTGTAAATTAAATCGATCTCTGAAGAGTCTTATAAGAATAAAATAGTTTACTGCTTTTTCATCCTTAAGAAAGAGAGCTCCATCTACCAATTTATCAGTCTATCTATTTTCTAGCCATATCTATCCATAATGGTTAAAAGTTTTAAAGGACAATACATTTAAAAATTTTATATTACTTTTCATAAGAGCAGTTCAATTTATCTCTATTCCTTTGCAAAGATTAATATTGTCACTGTGCATTGTAGACTTGTGTTGGTTGAAAGAAGTTGGTGGCATGACAACATTTATAGAAAGCATAAGCTCAAATATCACTTGAGTATCCAAAAATGGATGAAGCATCATTCAGCCACTGCCATCTGTTGAGTGTTTCATGACAGCTGTATCTCTTGACCAGAGCTAGGGAAGATTACCATGAGAAGCAGAGAGGAAGTACATAACAATTAGACCCACACACAGAAGAAAATTCCACCTTTGACACTGCTTTTAATTGCACCATAATGATTTTTAATAGACATAATGATATGTAGTATAGAACCTGGGTTGATTTAAAGCAAACAATAAACCACTATGCAGCTGAAAAGCAACTGAAAATTCTTTCTGCAGGAAGGTTTTTGTCCTGGACAAGTACTTAACAGTACTTATACCAGCTACATTGCACTAAATATGCTTCTATTTTAAAAAAACAGACAAACAAACAAACAAAAGTGCCCACAATTTGTCAACAAGTCTCTTAGGATAAACACTTTGTATTGACTAAACATATGTGAATAGGGACTTTTTAAAACAAACTCTTCCTGTTACAGAGGAGGTGCTTTTTGGCTGCCAGATTTGACATGCTTTCAAAAACCAATATTCTTCATCTGAATGCAGCCTATGTCAAAGGACTGCAGCATGGACTAAAATAGCCCCACTTTCTAATGCCTCGTCCAATGAATGGATCTATCTTCTTCGCGTCTACAAAACTGCCACCTGGCTCTACCACTTGTGATACAGCTTCTCATAAGTGGTGAGGGATGGGGGGAGTTCCCCAGATGAAAAGGCAATCTGTCAGGGCCTGAAATCAATGGCCTAGACACCAGAGGAGGGGAAAGGTCAAAGTCAAATCTGCACTTTGATGTGAAAGTCTTTTTCTGCCCCCTTATCTAACCTCTGCCTCCCGCTATGCATGTTTTATATCACTCTGTCACTTCAACAGGCTAAATCAGTTACTGCACCTCTGGATTAGCCAATAGGTGTTGCTGTACAGGGATCCAGAATCAACAATGGAAGGTGAGCCCATCACCTCCATGATGGTAACTGTCCACACATCTCAGGAAACAGAACTGGACTTGGAATACAGGACTCTTGCTTGGAGGTAGGGTTCCACATCCTAAGGTCATATGACAACCTCAGAAATTCAGCTTTCATAAAAATGTGTATTTCTAGCCTTTGTAGTTCAAAAAAATAGTTCATGAAAACATGACCCAAATGTAATGAAGATTGTAATATGTCTGCCTGAATCTGCTGCCAGTCTGAAACTATAGCTCGGAGATGAGTGATATTAATAGGTTAATTCTGAAACCTACTGCTATGGGGAGGCAGGAAACTGAGGACCCTGTATATGTGTACGTCAGGGGAGAAAATGTGGAGGCCTTTGCTGCCACTCCCCATCATAGCTCCCCAGAGTCTTCTACATTTCCTTTGAGGTTGATCCAAGACTGCCTGAACACAGGGAATCATAGACTAGAATCATAGAATACTAGCATTGGAAGGGATCTCGAGAGGTCATCAAGTCCAGTCCCCTGCCCTCATGGCAGGACGAAGTACTGTCTAGACCGTCCCTGATAGATGTCTATCCAACCTGCTCTTAAAAATCACCAGTAATGGAGATTCCACAACTTCACTAGACAATTTATTCCAGTGTTCAACCACCCTGACAGTTACGAAATTTCCATGTCCAACCTAAACCTTCCTTACTACAGTTTAAGCCTACTGCTTCTTATCCTATCATCAGAGGCAAAGGAGAATATTTTTTCTCCCCCCTTCTTGAAACACTCTTTTAGGTACTTGAAAACCTCTATCTTGTCCCCTCTGATAGACAAACTAAACAAGCCCAATTCTTTCAGTCTTCCTTCATACTCAGGTTTTCTAGACCTTTAATCATTTTTGTTGCTCTTCTTTGGACCTTCTCCAGTTTCTCCACATCTTTCTTGAAATGTGATGCCCAGAACTGGACACAATACTCCAACTGAGGCCTAATCAGTGCAGAGTAGAACAGAAGAATGATTTCTCATGTCTTGCTCACAACATTCCTGTTAATGCATCCCAGAATCATGTTTGCTTCTTTTTATTTCCCAGCAGTATCATTTAGCTTGTGTTCCACTATGATCCCTAAATCCCTTCCTGCAGTACTCTTTCCAAGACAATCACAGATAGCTTCCCCAGTTGTCACCTCTAATATCATTAGCTCACAGACATTTACCTCCCACCTCATTCCCCTTCTGTTCTGAAATTTGATTTGACCTTTTCACATGTGTTCATTTTTTTGATTGTATCCTTTGGTACATATGGTCATGCCAATTTTCTTCCACAATTTGATCTGAGGAAGTAGGTCTGACCCATGAAAGCTCATCAGCTAATAAACCATCTTGTTAGTCTTTAAAGTGCTACATAGTCCTGTTTTTTGTTACAACTTCCCATTCTGTATGTGTGAAACTGATTGTTCCTTCCTAAACGGAGTACTTTGCATTTGTCCTTATTAAACTTCATCCTATTTACCTCAGACCACTTCTCTAGTTTTTCCATATCATTTTGAATTTTGACCTTAATCTCCAAAGAACTTGCATCCAAGATTGGTATAATCTACAAACTTAATAATTATACTCTCAATGCCATGATCTAAATCATTGATGAAGATACTGAACAGAACTGGTTCCAAAACAGACTCCTGAGGAACACCACTTGTTATGCCCTTCTGTCATGATTGTGAACCATTAATAACCACTCTCTGAGAATGGTTATCCAGCAGATAGTAGCCCCATCTAGTTTGTATGTCCCTAGTTTATTAATAAACATGGAAATACAACCTATACGAATGGTGGTTTGAAGAAGGCAAAAAGGTTCAGTTTTCATGAAGAGGAATGATGGTGAGCCTACCCCTCGCCCCTGTCCATCAGATGCACTCTCATGTGAGTGGCCCCTCTGTTACCATCCGATGCAGAACAGGGCCCTGACAAAGGGGTAAAAGGAAAACCACAGAGTCGTAAATCTTTAAGCCCTTCAGGGTAGTGGGTTATCTGTTACCAAAGCTTGTCTACTATCTACCACAACCTGGCTCTGATTCTGATATAGAACTTTTGAGTGCTGCCACAATAGCTATATTTAAAAATAATATGCTGGAGGGGGATTGCTGAGGGTTGTGATTTGCTTTAAATCTGGCTCCACTTGGTGATGTTTCATGTTGCATATCTAGGACACTGAGATGGCTTTAATCTCTAATACTGTGTTAAACTTTCCCTGCTAGTTACCAACAAAACTCTGGTTGTTGCTCTTTGAAATAATTATGTGTTGGAGTCAAAACTAATATACATTTCCATATTATCTAGTTCCATTGTGAATCCATGGTGCTGGGTTACAACAGCCATATAGGTTTTTTTTTTTAATATGTAGATTAAAGCAGCAGAGGTTTAAAATACCAGCTCTGCTGTTAGGTCAGTGGAAGGCTCTGGTTTACTGCTACATTAGCTTTTACTAAATTGTTTGGGATTTATAACTTTTTATTTTACAAGTGTATTTTGAAAGAAGTTAGTGAAACAAAACATAAGTGATCCCATCCCCCAGAAAGTCACTTTTATGTTTTGGAGGTTGTTGGATTTTTTTAACATGGTAAAGTGGTTGTAAAATATACTCTTGATTCTTAAATAAAACAGCATGCAAGTAAAGCCAGTATGGGAAGTGGGCCCCTTTCTAGACATTTTATAGACCGCCCAGGACTCTAACAGGAACACTGAGACTGAATATAGATTTTGTAAGGGTTTGTGCTGGGCATTTTAACAGGAGGCTTTAAAAATAACCCA